AAAATGTGGGTGAAAATATAAAAACCCATATTATTTTAAAAAAAATTAAATAATAAAATCTCGGGGCCTAAAAATATAGGCCAAGAACCCTCGGGTGGGATTACAGGCCCACGGGGTGAGAAGAGGGGAATGGGCTGCTGTGTGCAGCCCTAAAATTTTTATTTTTTTTTTCTCGGGCCGTTCCAGGCGAGCCCAGAAACTTTTTTTTTTTTTTTTTTTTTTTTTTTTTTTATGCGGGCCGCTCCAGGCGAGCCCAGAAACTTCTTTTTTTTTTTTTTTTTTTAATTAGATGCATATATAATTCAATGAATCACATATTTACTTTGATGCATATGCAAATAATAGTTTCAATGCATGTACATATGTAAGATTCAATTCATGGCAAATATCAAATTCACATAATTGTAGCAATTTTGATGATGAAGCATACACAATTTATGTAGAGTCTAAAATACGTTAAACGTAAAGTTGGGTCATGCATCATGGTGAATATTCATGCTATCAGGGCTTGCAAAATATCGAGTTAAAAGCCGTTGTTTGGAAAGAACCTGATTGCGTGATGATATGGATGAACTGGTTTGATGCAGAAAAAATCTCCAACGTCAGATTCCTAAGCGCAGCGGTAGGAGCGTGCTGATAACGTGTTGTGGTCTATTTTATCTGACAGAGGGACTAGGGCCGGCGGCAGAGAGAGAGAGGAGATAGATGTGTGTTTGTAGAATTGTAGGGGAATGTGTGTGTTGTTATCCCTCCTACATTGTGCCTTTATTTATAGTAGTAAAGGGAGAGAAGATATTCCTTCTCCTCCAAGTAATACAAGTTGTAATAGGAAAGGATAACTAGAATCAAATCTTATCTAGGATTTACACAATCATACTTAAACTAGGAATGTTTACAACAATGCTATAATAAAAACGATTATGCTTTAGACACAGCATATACTAACACACTTGATACATTACAAGGTTCACAAACAATAGTAGGATTCATCTCTAGTCTGTCAACAAATGTGTTACTGAACTGGTTTGGTATATAATAAGTAGCTAGTATCCTGATGATGCACCATCTATTAATTTGTTTGATGCATATGAAAGGTTAAACGATCTCCAAATTGAATGATTTTTTACAAAGATAATCTTTAATAGATAATGATAAATAGAATGAACCATTAAAATTAGGGTTCTTTAGATATAGACCCTTGCAACTCTTATTTCTTAGACAAAAACCCACCTAGTTATAAACATCCAAATAAAACCCAAATTTAAAAATAATTGCCAAGTATAAAAGTAATTGACCTATTATTACAAAATATTTACAATTTGTACCACAATATTCAAAATAAAATCAATAAATGTTATTACTCACCCTAATGAAAATATAATTATTGCACATATTATTACCCCTAACACACACATATATACGTTCAAATGTATATATTACTACCATTAGCTCAATATATATATATATATGTATGTATATGTATATGTATATGCACACATATATAGTTTACCTATATATAAAATACTACTATCCGTTCGCGCACACACACACACACAAACACATATGTATATGTACACATATATAGTTTACCTATATATAAAATACTACTATCCATTCACACACACACACACACACACACACATATATATATATAATATATACATATACATGCACAGTACTACATATATGATCAAACATATTAAACTAATTAATCTACCTATATTTAAATTTAAGAAAAACTAATGAAAATGGCTTAAAAACTTTGAGTTTTAACGATAATGACAAAATAAAGGGTAGAGTGAATAGTATCAGGATTGATTTTTTAGTGTAAAAATGTGGTTTTTCATTAAAGTGAACAGTACCGGGAGCTTTTCGTTAAAGTTCCCTTAAATTTATGATGAGCAAATAACATATATTTTGTACGTAAATTAATATTGAATCAAATAACATTCTTTTATTTTGTAGGTATTTATTTTCCATGTATTATTACATATATTTGGAACATTTTATTATTATAAGATATATGTACTAATAATAGGTAAATTAATCTTGAATAAAATACAATTACTTTATTTTGTAAGTAAATTAATTTTGAATCAAATAACATTTCTTCATTATGTAGGTATTTTATTTTGTATGTATCATCATATATATTAGGCACATTTTATTATTATATGTACAAATAATAGGTAAACTAGTATTGAATAAAATAATAATATTTTTTATGTAGGTGTATTATTTTACATATATTTGGGTTTGCCTTATTATGTAGGTAAATAATTTTGCATGAATTTTTATGTATATCAGGCATGTTTTGTTTGTTGTTGTTATATATACACACACATACATGTGTGTGTGTGTGTGAAATAATTTACCTAAATTTATATGTAAAATATAATTTTATTGACTTAACTAAGCATGTATTACTACATTTATTAGGCATGTTTTATTGTTCTTATATATTATGCAATGAATTTATTATTTTTTTATTTTTGTAAAATCATTAATTCTCCCTTACAATTTGTATGGAATTAATTATTAAAATCAAACATTCAAATAGGGGTGTTTTGGGCATCGATTTTTTTTAAATGTGTAAAGTCAAATATAATTAATGAATTTGCTGATGTGAAATCTAGTCAATGAGTTTTATTTCAGTAAAAAACTTATGTCGGGTTTTATGTGGAGAAAATTAAGTTTCAGGGACTAAAGTCATATTTTCAATTAAAATTATGATGTTTGTACGGTTAAGTTGTGTTAATCAGAAGTGGAGGGACAAATACATTCCCCTATGAAAGGAATGCAAATATTATCCTTTTTCTTGTTGAAATGTTTTAGAATGATGAGTAATGCTAAAACTTATCATATTTTGTATACCCAGAATCGTAGCACCCACCAATACAAATAGATTTCACCATTATTAAAAATAGGGAATTTTAACGAAAAGCTAATGGTACTGTTCACTTTAATGAAAAATCACATTTTAACACTAAAAAGTCAATCAACTATTCAATTTACCCTTTATTTTATCCTTATCGTTAAAACTCAAAGTTTTCAAACCCTTTTCATTAGTTTTCCTTTAAAAATATGGGTTAATCGCAATTTAATACTCTCAAGTTTCTTGGTTTTCAACATTTAGTACATCAAGTTTTTTTCATCTCATAGTGGTACCTAAAGTTAAAATTTTGGGACAGTTTCGTACATCCGTTAAGGTTCTTGTTAAGTCAACCGTTAAGTGATGACGTGATGCTTATATGGACAATGATTGGATGCTACGTACATGTCAATATGGGCCCACATAAATATTAAAATATTAAAAAATTAAAAATTAAGAAAAACTAAAACCCTAAAAATGTTTCCAGATTCCATGATTTGCTTTCAATTCCTCCCTACTCTCTCTCCCTATCAATGTTTTGCAGATCCCTCGCCACCTCTCTCTCTCGCTCCTCTCCTCTCCTCTTCCTTCGTCCCAAAACTCTCCCTCTTCTGCCCCTACCCAAAAACCACACTATCACTTCTCTCTGTTAGAACCCTACTCTACATCTTCCACAATTGCAGAGAGTTAGGTAACAGAACATGAGAACAACAATACAATTTCATTAACTGCCTTTCCAATTGCTACAACCTGCTATTTATCTTCTAACTACTAACTAACTACTAACAACCATGTACACATGTCATCATCTTATTAAGCCACTTGGCAGTATCCTATCACTCTCCAACACCAGATCGGGCTCTTGCAGCTCTCACCCAGAATCTCTTGGCGAGGCAACGATGGTAAGGGCTTAACGGCGGCCGATGAACGCAAGGACTTCACGTGCAGCAAACTACATGGAGCTGCAGTGCAATAAAAGGGGCGGGTTATAGATTCAACAGATCCGGGTTGATTGTGCAGTGCAGGTGGGTCGATTGGATCTCGATTCCGTCAAGTCTGACCCATTTACCCAACCTCAAGGTCCTCATACGGTCGCCGTCGAATCTTAGACGAACAATTGGAAAGGCCGTCGAATCTTGGACAAACAATTGGAAAGAAAAAAAAAGATGATATTTAAATCATAGAGGAGAAATTTGGTGGTGTTTTGGGGAAGCATGGTGACAATGGTAGTCGGCCGACAGAAAATGAGGGGACTGGTGGCTGCGATTTTGGGGAAGGGAGGGAGGGTTGGGTGGGGGTTGAGGTAGGAGAGCTAGATTTTTTAATTTTTTGTATAATTTTATTTTTATTTTTTTAATATTACACCAAGTTATTAGGTGTTACATCATCATCAGTAAACAAATGTTTTGACAGAAAACTTAACAGATGTATAAAAGTGTCCAAAATTTTTTACTTTAAGTACCAAATTAGGATGAAAAAAACTCCATGTATGAAATGTTGAAAATCAAAAAATTTTAAGGTAGTAAACTAAGATTAACCCTATATATATATATATATATATATATATATATATATATTTAGTACAAATTTTATATACAAAATCTATCTGATAAGAATAGCATATTTTTATTTTATAATTGTTTCTAATTTCTTCATATGCACAAACAAGTTCATACAATGCATTACACGCATGCATACAACGGATTATAATGTAAAATTTAGTAATAAAACTCAAATATAGAGGGGATCATCATTGGATTAATAATAAAATATTCAGGTTAAAAGTTATAAGTAAAACCAAGACAAGTATATTGCATCCGGTACAGAATAAAATCTGGTGTTTATAGCAAGTGTTTACCTCGTGTGTATAGATATATATACAAGCGATCGAATTGATCATAGCAATGTATGTAGGCATATATTTTCCTCAAAACCCAACAAATCGGGTTTAGGTATGATATAGTATTATTACTATAACTGCATGAGATACATATGAACAATGTTGATACTGGAAAAATGGAAACTAGGGTCTTGATCCTATAAATACGAACCTCTACTTCAATTCTATTCAGATTATTCTCACTTCCAATAGCCAGCACACTTGAAGCCTTTGATCAAAGATATGAAAATGGCTTCTGCTTCATTCCCAGGTGTTCCAGTATTACTGGTTCTCTTCTTCCTCGTGATCAATATCACTCCATCGTTGACTCAAGACACCGAACAACTGATCGAGCGTATCTGCAGGCAAATGGAGCAGTATGGATTTTGCAGCCAAACCTTTAAAGAAAACCTGAAGTCTCCTAATGCTGATATCTTGGCCCTCACCCAGATTACCGTAGAGCGTGCTTTAGACAATGCCACCCAAACACACGACTTCATTAGGCAACTGCTTGAAAGCACAACCGACACAGCACTCAAAAGCGCTCTGGAAACATGCGAGTATAGTTACCGTTTGGTGATGGAGGCGTTTCAATCGGCTGCGGTGGCGTTTTTCCAGAAGGATTACGACAGCGTAGAGAAGTCTGAGAGTGGGACGCCGAGAGCAGAAGCTAGCTGCGCAGACTCACTGAGCAAGATGCCGCCAAATACTGCGAACCCACTGACTGAGAGAAATAATCAGATGAGGATTCTACTTGCCATGGCTTTGGTTTCAGTGCATGAACTAAAGTCTACCCAGAACAACTAGGGTTTCCTAGAAGCAATCATTTATTGGTTTTCCTGATTTTATTTTTGTTATTGTTTTTATTAAGTGCTGTTGTCTATTCACCTTTGATCGATGATGGATAAATAAAATTACAATGTTTTCCTCGAGTGATTGGAAGACACTGAACATTGTCCTCTGTTAATTATTTGATTATTTTAGCTATATTAATTGAATAATATGGTTTTTTCTTTATCAAAATAATAGGTAAGCACATAATTACGAGCTATACATATTTTCGATCTATTAGAATAAGTTTTAGAAGTAATCACTATGATACTATTGTATATGGCAAATGAGTTACACTACATAAGCAAACAAAAAAAAAACAGAACTTTCCTATACGAAAGGATTTCATCGAACAAAATAAGGTTTTGTCGCTTAACGTTTTGTCCAATGGAAATTTGTCGGGCAATATAATAATAGGCAAAGGTCATCACATAAACATTTGCCCGACGAATATTAAAACTCTTCGGTCAAATGCGGGACGAAATTACCAATGACTATTTTGTCAAGCCAAGTGCATTGATCAACTTGACCCGACAAACTTAACTTGGCCGACGATAGCATTTCATTGCCAAAAATAGTTTTTACCCGACGAAAGTACTCGTCGGGCAAACTTTTTAATTTTTAAAATTTGTAATTTAAATTAATTGATTAATTTGATCATATTAATTTCAAAAGAAATAACAATATAAAAAAAAACTATTTAACTAACCTAAAACTAAAATATTCGCACACATGTATGTGAAATATGCAAAACTAACTAACTACTCCTTGGGTGGCTGGCGAGATGGCGATAGAAGGTCGTTCGGAGGATTGGGGAGGCGAATGCCAGAGGCTGTCATTGTCTACACCATTTATCGCATGTATAATCAAAAGTTATCATCCTAATGGTGCACGGCTTCTTCCCAAGCTTCTTCTTGTTGCCGCACAACTCCTCGCCGAAGCATGGCCTCTAACTCCATTTCCAGTTACTGTAGTTTGGGAGACGTCCTACTTGCTCTACTTCTAGGCTGAGAGCTATATGAAGAAGATCCCCTAAGGTCCCCAACCCAACACTCTCCTAAACCGCGAATCTCTCAACCTTTCTGTTGCCCAACCTCATCCATCAGTAACTGTAGAGACAACTGTTCTAAAAATCTCCGAGCACTAGGTGGCTAGCCATCATCCTGATTAATCCCTAGGGGGTTTGAAAATTAAGAAATGATGCATAGACTTGCCTAGGTGCCCACCTAGATCCTCCTAGGTCACGACTTTCACTTAGACATAAATTAGATAACTTTCAATTTGCATTTTTTTTCTTCAATAAATTGTAATAGACTTGTTGAATACTTGGATGACAACTTATTATATGCTTGTTCCCTGTATTTTTAATATGTTCTAATACTTTATAATTTATGTCATTCTATTTTACAATTTATGTATCCCAATGCAATTTGGTAGTTTTTTAAGTACAAGTAGATATTTGTTTATATGTTATATAACAAATTTAATTAAAATTTAACAAAAAAAAAACTTCTAGGCCCCCTAGGCCCTAGGCCTTTGCCCCCCGCCCAACTAGTGCCTTTTAGTACCTTAATAGAGACACATCTGGATCAGGTGTCTGTCAGCTATTGGGTCAGGTTTGTGAGGGCCCTACATTCCACCCTTTTAGAACCTTATTCATTTTTTTTCTTACAACTCGTCCAAGAACGTACTATGTGAAATACAACCTTACAGCTCGTCCCAACCACTGGGCCACCCTGGGTGGTTTACTTATTCATTCCAACACTGAAAACTGCTTGTACACAAGTGGGTTTAGGATTTGACCAAAAAAATATGGGTGTAGGATGTTACACATACATTATTAATGAACTTTGGATTAATTGAACCGGTGAAACTGTGAAACAGCTGCAAATTCTTGATTCATTAACCTTTCCCATTTATTAAGCAAAGGTAACGTAAACATATGTGACCATATTTAAGTTACCAACCCCAAAACAAATTCCCATTGAAGGGCCACACAAAAATGGTTTCATATAGCTCTGCAATATCTGCTCTATTTGAAGTTGTTGCTTCGCTTATCATCCCCACCTCTAATGGAGTCTCCAATAAGATCTTGACCAAAATTTGTTCAAGACTTACCCCAGATCCAGATCAATGCGTTACAATTTTACAATCTGATTTGCGGACAGCGTCGGCCAACCTCCCCGAACTCTCACTGATTTCTTTAGACCTAACAGGGAGGCAAGCTAACCACAACCTGAAGACTTTCAGAGAGCTTAGCAAAAATGCCACTCATGAACCTAAATTGAAAAATGACTTTGATGCATGTGTTAGAGTTTACAAGGACATAAAGCTCAAAATTAAAGCAGCATATTTGTTGTCAAAGAAAGGACAATACAGAAATGTTTCAGATTTGTCTCAAGCAAAGGAATTAGCATTCCGCTGTGGAAGGGATATCAACTCACTAGTTGTTAACGAACTTGGATCTTCTATGGTTTTAAGGTTGTATACTTCCATTAGTATAAACCGATATATTGCTCGCACAAATGCCTAGACTTTTTAGTCGTAGTTTTGATAAAAGCAAGTGTAACTTTTTTAATTGCTTCAACAGAAAAACTACATAAATAATTACGTACGAAAAGTTCTTATATTTGTTGTAGGCCTAAATTTAACTTGAGGAGAGACGGTGCGGCGGCAGATAGACAGAAAAGAGGTGTGGGAAATTTATGTCTTTTCCACTAATCTTATGTTTTCATTTTATAGTAAACATAACGGGCTTACTTGCGCTATAAGTAAGAAAAAAAGTCTAAGATCTTATAATCATATATAAATCTTATACAATCTACTAAAATTTACACAATCACACATGTCTATAATTCTATCTACAAGAACATGCTCGTTTGTGCACTAATGTACCCAAATCAGACAAGGCTGACATACTAAGTAATACTATTGTATAGTTGCCAGCCACTTACAATTTTTTATATTTCGCAATAGGGTCAATCCTGATATTTCACTGCATTGCAATTTACATTCTAAAATTTTGTAGATTTAAACATTGAGTCAAGTTTTTGTTCTACAATTGTGTAGATTCAGACATTACATTGCAGTTTTGTTTTACTATATTCAAATTAGTCATATCTAATACTAGAATTTAGTATGATTTTCAGACTTCTTTGTACTATATTCTTATTCATTTCCTTTGAGTGGGCTTGATGTTCTACGAGGTTTTATTGTATCCAATATTCAACATAGTCACATCTAATACTTCAATGGGAGATGACAATTGAATTGTAAGGAAAAGAAATACATATGGCTGAATACGTAATATTTTGTTAAATGAGAGTTTATAATGTATAGACACACATACCTTGTTTCATTAAAAAATTAATTACAAAAAGTTACAATTAAATACAAATCCTACTCCTACCTAAAATAAGTCTCCTATAATATTTTCAATTTAAGACTCAAGTCAATAAAAGGTTAGGTCAACACTAAAGGGTGGGAGACTTAGATCTTGTTTTAAGTGTTTTTAAAATGACTGAATCACTTTTGGGTTCGTCCCATACGAAACGGGACACCCGAGGCCAAATCAACAAAAAGAAAAAGTGTTTTGGGGATATGTCATTGTGTTGCAGTTTTTATTCTAAAATTGATTTAGATATTGCGTTACAGTTTACGTTGTATAATTGTTTATAGATTCAAACATTGCGTTGTAATTTTGTTCTATTTATTCAAATTAGTCATATCTGATACTTGAATTTTTAATATGATTTTCAGACTATGTATTCTCATTCATTTCCCTTGAGTGGCCACTACATCATGTTTTACGAAGTTTTATTTTAGGGAACTTTAACGAAAAGCACCCGGTACTGTTCACTTTAACGAAAAACCACATTTTTACACTAAAAAGTCAATCCTGGTACTATTCACTTTACCCTTTATTTTGTCCTTATCATTAAAACTCAAAGTTTTCAAGCCCTTTTTATTAGTTTTCCTTTTATTTTATATATTCAAATTAGTCACATCTAATACTCAAATGAGAGATGACCTCTGGGTTGTAAGGTTGGGTCAACATTAAAGGATGGGAGACTAGGGCTCATCTTAAAGTGCTTTTACAATGATCAAAAGCGTTTTTGGTGAAAGTCTTTTTCGATCCGTCCCATAAGAAGGGGATATCCGAGGGCATATCAACAAAAAAAAATTGTTTTTGGGTTTCAAAATCACTTGAAGTTAACTTCCTTCACTAGTTATGTGCTTTTTGTAGGAAATACTTCAAGTGTTTTTTAAGAATTTACTTGTATTTTTAATAAGGATTGGTTCCAAAAGTACCTTAAAAAAAAAAAATCTTTCAGTCATTTTGAAAAAACTTTCAAACACACATGCTGATTAAGGGCCAATTTGGGATTGCTGTACTTTTAAAAAAAAAATTGGTCCTGATGTGCTTTAAGAATAATCAACTGTAAAGTAAAGTAAATGAACTTTTGGTTAACTGTTTTTTGAAAAGTGATGTGGTTGTTGCAATCCTATTAGATTAGAAATGTGATTGTGTAAATCCTAGTAGATCTAGGAATATCTCTTATATTTCTATTAGGAGTTGATTACCTATTAACAGTTGTAATCCTAAAAGGGTAAGGAATTAACCTTCCCTACTACTATAAATAAGGGCACAATAGGGTGAAATGGAACACACCTCACAATTACACATCTCTCTCTTCTTCTCTCTATACCGCACCCTCTCTCTCTATATGGCCTCCATAATTTTCAGTAAATTATGCTTACAATATGTTATCAGCACGCTCTTGACACTGTGCTAACAAGAGAATTTATTCTTCAATCAGAGGAGTATTACGTTTTAATCATTCTTTTCATGATTTATTTAATTATTTAATTGAATTAATATACATGTTATTAATTCAATTTAATTTTTCCGTGTTGAACGTGATACAACGCATTGGAGATGCATTTCGGCTTTCCGATAATGATCTTCTACAAAT